CAATCCTTAACTGTAGCCTCTGTTCACCCAGCAGTAAATGGGTACCTGGTTGTTAAACAGTTTGGCGGGTCGTATTCTGGGGGGAATTAGGATTAAGGGTCTGCCCGAGACGCTTGCTAGCGGCTTTACAAGAATGTAAGAATTGCGCGCGGGTGCATGAATAGGTATACGTATGTATACCTATTATATGTATGTAAATGATCAGTGTTTCGTGCACGTATGTATATATGCATGAGTGTGTAAATCACGAGAAAATTAACACGATGAAAAATGTGACGGTGTCAGACCACGGAGGAAGAATTGAATATATTAATACATCTTCAGAAGGAATGAAGATTCCTTCTGAAGATGTATTAATATACGAAAGTACTTAAGGAAATTCCTGTCTCAGTTCTTCCTCCGTGGTCTGACACTGTCATATATATGTATATTGTGATGTTAATCTGGAAATAGAGCAGTGGCTGTTCTGGCTGGTGTTGTGCTCATCACATTAAAAAAACGTAAAATAAAGTAAATAAGACTGTGACCTCTACACTGTGAAAGCTGCGAGTGAAACAAAGAATAAACACTTAAAACATTTACTATAACAAATAACCTAAATAACAAAACAAAGCCTCTTATCCACTTGGCGAAAACACAATATAAAAGAAATATAAACACAGGTTAGTTGTTACGTTCAGTAAAAGAGAGTTGCATATTAACATTTATACAAAAGCTGTACGCATCTACTGTCTCCTGGGAAAGCGACAGTATATGTTACTGCTGAGAGCACAAAGTGTGTGCTGAGGACTGGACGATTGATTGATAAAGATTAAGCCACCCAAAAGGTGGCACGGGCATGAATAGCCCGTAAGTGGTGGCCCTTTTGAGCCATCACCAGTATCAAGAGATGATACTGGAGATCTGTGGAGGTGCGACTGCACCCTGCGTGACGGGAGATGCCTCTCCCGTTGTGATTGGACGTCGGCGAGCTCCATATATGTGCAGCATAGCATAGATGGCGCGGATGTCAGAGTAACCATCGGCCTCCAATTAAACTAGTAGTTAGTGAGTGGTGCTGGGTCTCTGCCCAGACAGCAGGGACCAGATTCATAAAGCAGTTACGCAAACACTTACGAACCTGGGCATCTTTTCTCAATCTTCGGCGGCTTTGTTTACAATTATTAAACGGTTAATGAGCTCCGGAGCATCAGGAGGCTGTTTATAGCCATAACAACACTTGATTGGGAATTTTTCATACTTGTAAACTGTTTAATAAATGTAACCAAAGCCGTCAAAGATTAACAAGCGAGACACTTGATTGGGAAAGAAACTGTTTACACGATTGAGGAAAGATGTACACGTAAGTACTTGCGTAACTGTTTTGTGAATCTGGCGCCAGGTGTCCAGGTGTCTTGGGCACTAGAGGGAGGAGGGGGGGGGGGGTATCTGTATAGACACTGAGCAAGCATTGTTGTTGTTGATTCCTTATGTTGGAGCATGCAGATACGTTGATGAATAGGTGGTAAAGGGAACAGGTAGGATCTTCTGCCTAAGCAGGAGATGTGCATATATATATGTATATGTATATATATAATATGTATATTTGTATATATGTATAAAAAGCTTGTTGAAGGTTCCCCCCCCCCATTTCCCTTGATAATCTATTCCAGTTTAGTTTTGAAATTCAGTAGTCATGCATTACGGCTTCGACGGGGTAGACACTACCCCGCCGAAGCCGTAAGTTTGTAGCCGTCAAACGCTACCAACAAGCCGTAAGTTTGTAGCGTTGTTGTAACGGCGATACAACACAAAAGATTCGCGCAATTTGCCAGCACCGGATGGGTGACCATAAAGAACAGTCTCACCCCTTGGCTATGGCCTCGAAATCCCTAACAAACTTCCTGTCCCTGACAATAGTTTACCATTATTGAATACAATTCTCTGTTTTGATAAATTAGAAAACTTGCTCGGGGGTGACTATTAAAGACTGCAAGAAAGGACAGAAAAAGAATGTGGAAATCAATCTTTTGAAACTTTCATTAGCAAGCCTGATCGTTGCTTGTTGCAATATAATACTTCGAACTTTTGCACATTACTAACATAGTTTTTATCACATTTACCATATCCAAAATTATAGAAAGGAGAAGACTGCGTGTTAGTGACTTTGATAATTCAAGATAATTCTTTCAATAAACGTACAATTTTAATCGCCAAAATGTATAGCTGCTACGCCAGAACCTACAAGGCTAATAGCTGCTGCTCCAACACCAGTACATGGGTCGAAAATCGACCAGCAGCATTGGTGTGCACAGTACCAGCGGATGTATAGACAATTTGCCCGAAACGCTTTGCGTAATAGTGGCTTTAGGCATTGTATGTACTAGCTCTTATCTATAAAGCCAACAAACTTTGTAAAATCTCTTTATGTATGTACCTTTGCCTAAATAAAAATTATTATTATTATTATTATTATTAATGCCCCCAGGTCACCATCCAGTCCGTTCCTTGGAGTTCCTACAACGGACTAGTAATTCGACCTTGGGGACCTCGATACAAGCCTAATGTGTGTAAATACTCTGGCTACCTGTCTCCCAACACAATGAATTATTACCTTAAGTGTACAGAGCCTATTGACACGAACTTATAACAATGTTCTAGGTCCATGTATTCGTTAGTTTTCTGGGTGTCCTGGAGGTGGCCGCCTCGGCTGTACAGCGAGGTAGATGGGTATCAACCAATGTAGACGCTCACGTGTAATCCGAAGTGACCTTACCATCCCTTCATGGCTGCAGGGTGACTCCTTTTCATGGGTTCGTTTCCTGGCCGGGGAGGATTTACTGGGCGCAAATCCTTAACTGTAGCCTCTGTTTAACTCGACAGTAAAATGTGTACTTGGTTGTAACAACGATTCTTCGCGGCGGGGATCGTATTCCAGGGACCTGCCCGAAACGCTACGCGTACTAGTGGCTGTACAAGAATGTAACAAGTCTTGTATATATCTCAACAACAACAACATTTGGGCGTTTGTGACTGTTGTTAGGTCTGAACAACTGAAGTTTTATATAATTATAATAATGTCTATGATTTAAACGCCTTTTCACAAAATCTCTGGCCCAAGGGATCGTTCTGCAAGATTGGAAATATGGGAATGTTACCCCTATTTTCAAGGCAGCAACAACAGAAAACCACCGTTCAATCAGTTTGAGCTCGCATATCTGCACACTCACGGGGAGAATCTTAGAAGGAATCATTCACCATCTCACCGTGAACAATCTAATAAAATGAACGCAATAAGGATTTGTACAAATTAGATTCTGCCTTACAAACCCTATCCCTGCTTTTTCTTTTTTAAGGAGTAAAGCTGTAACGTATCGTTTACGTACGATTACGTGTTTGGTTGATTAGGTGCGGGGCGAGAGCGTAGCTAGAAGCTCGATGTGGCTGGAGTCTTGCTGTCTGCTCTGTGTCGAAGCTGAAGTGTGTTGTGAAGGTAGGAACCGGACACGTAGTGCTACGATTGATTGGTGAAGATTAAGCCATCCAAAAGGTGGCATGGGCATGAATAGCCCGTCAGTGGTGGCCCTTTTGAGCCATTGCCAGTATCAAGAGCTGATACTAGAGATCTGTGGAGGTGCGACTGCACCCTGCGTGACGGGAGATGTCTCCTGGGTAGTGCTACATTCTTGTTGAGAATATTGAAGATCTGTAAAAAGAAAGAAAACCCTAAATTAGGGTCTGTAGGTATCTCTCGAGCGTCTGTAATGATTTGGCCTGATGACTATTTGTTTAGATTCAGCTACTCGGAACAAAAGTTCCAAGTAGCACGAGCTATGGTGAGCCCGTGGCTTACCTGGCACAGGAGCGGGGCTGTAACTTGGACGTGAAAAGATTATTGATTGATAAAGATTAAGCCACCCAAGAGGTGGCACGGGCATGAATAGCCCGTACAAAAAATTTGTTATAGATTGCTTAGATAATCGGTTTATACCTCACCTGACCATCCACTATTAGGTTAGGAAGGAGTATAACTATAATTAGGGAAGAGGTATGAATTCGTAATTAGCGGACTAAATATAATTTAAAAATCACAGTATCTGCCCATGAGCTAATGAGTTTTGAGCGAACATATTATTGACATAATATAATTGCGTTGCTAAATGACGGTAGGTTCAGTTTCTGAAGCTAAGTATACGTGTCTCTATCTCGTTCCACCACCGCCCACGGGATGGGTATGTGGTACGTAATAAGTAATTAGAGCCACGGAATTCATCAACAGTGTAAACCAGACATGACGGGGCTGATATCAGACTATAAAATATTGAACAATTGGAGGATATTTATCCAGATAACAACTTTTTAAGTTCATTGTACACACAAAGGGACACCAGCCCTTGTGCAGTGTGACTCAACAAGTCACATTGCAGGACACAACAGTCAAGATGATTTTTTACACATTGGCAGTTTAATATTCAACTGGAAAACATCCTCTGGAATAATTATGGGGGAACTTTTAACAATCCAGTGACTTCCTGTGGAGATAGAAGCCACTGGAGATGGTGGCCCTCGGGTAAATTCAGGCACGGTCGTACAGGTCTTATCAAGCACTTACTCATACATGGGTGAGAAAGCAGGTTTGGAAAATATCTTGTATTGTTTTCAAGTTAATGTGGAAAATTGTCTTAAATTTTCTTCTTGATTGGTAGTAAGAAATATAGTAATAAAATGCATAGCCGTTTGTTTAAATAAAGCTTACTGGCAAGAGCGTAGGAAGGAGCAGCAGCATGAGCAATTCCAAATAATTGCCAGGTAGCGAACGTGTCTATTATAGATACACAAAGACTCGCCCTACATATATTGGCCCTGACAATAATTTTAGTATTCCTATATGCTAAGTTTAATGTGTTGGAGAAGTTCCTTCACACATTTTATCATTCATAATCCCCTTTTGAAATTTAATGTCGCATTATGCCAGGAATTATCAGACACAATATATATCGGGTGGCAAAGAGCCGCCTTACATCATATCCTGTCGAGTGCCAGATAGTTATAGGGGCCAGCAAGTGCCAGAGGACGACACTTGATCAACCAGTGTGATTACCATCTCCAAGACTTGTGCTCGATTTGTTCTTGAGGCAGAAAAGCGTCTTTGTGCTTAATGAGGAGATAATTAATTTAATTTATACCTCAATTGTGTTGATATTCAAAGTCTGAAAAATATGAGAGCTTAAAGGTGTCGCCAACCAAACCCTCGACTTGAAGCGCAGCTGTATACAATAAATTTTGTCTGTTGAAAATTTTGAATAGTCTTAAACATTATACTATATAAAACAGATTTTCTTAATTGAATTATAGTAGAATAGGTTATTAGCGCAGCAAATTCATTAATGACAGTCCTAGTCGATGTTTGATCATTGACGTTAAGGCTGAACTTGGTGAGATCAGCTGTGTCGTGTTTTGATTCTTGTCACAAGTTATTTAACCATGGAGGAGGTGAGTAGGGAGACTTAGTTCCATCAGATCACTGTCGCACAGTCACCATGAGTGCCTAAACGTCGCCAGCGCCGCCAGAGTGCTCTAGTACTCGCCACAACGCCAGAATAAAATATAATGTAATGTTGCCCCTGGTCCGCCAGTAAAGACGGAGGGGGCAAGCTTCCCCGTGCTCGGGCCGAACAAGACGAGGCTTTTCCTCGCCTCACAGCCCTCCCGGCCTTGTAGTCACTTGTAAGCAGCATTGTTGCCTCATTATTGGTCACTTGCCACGGGGCGTGGTGTTAAAACACGAGACAACTAGTATATGGAGGAGTTTTTAACTGTTGAATGTTTGAGGTTGTTAGTGAGCATTTTTCCCACTGGAACTGAGATTGTAACTTCCGCCTGAGGAGACCACCACTACCACTCCCCAGTGTTGTGGTGCAATACTGGCCCCCTGCTGGTGCTGGCTTGGCACCAGGGCCGCTACCCACACCACACCTGCCATGTCTTATTTAGCTTACTACAAGGTAACTATATCCTTGACGACTAACAAGTGTGTGTGTGTGTGTGTGTGTGTGTGTGTGTGTGTGTGTGTGTGAGAGAGAGATCAAATCTGCAGGAATATATTTGAATGGGAAGTTAATGTTGGACACTGGGGGTGGGGTACAGGAGAACAGTCTATGGGGGTGGAATGGGGGGTAGTGAAGGTGAGTGGTAGTTGGCAAAAGGTGAGGGGTGGGAGGGGGGGGGGTGCAGTAGGTGGGGCCAAAGTATGAGATGCCATGGAGGGGCAAATGGTACAGTACAACAGGAAGAGAAGAGGCAAGAAGCTATAGGAACAGATTGCCATCCTCTTTCTAGATGTTAGGTTAGGTTAAGTGAAATCTAAGATTGATTGGGCAAGATCATTCTAGTCTTGAATCTGGTCAGACATAATGGAAGGAAGAACAAAGTAGTTTGCCATAGTAGCAGACGGGAAGTCTGTTAAGCTTATTGTAGTCCCCTGTAGGCCAACTGACCTTACCCTGGGATGCATCCTATGACAGTTGTCACACTCCTGGGTACATATTTACTACTAGGTGGAAGAGACATGGGGTGGAAGGAAACACTGGCCAAATGTTTAGGCAAAACCACTTGGGCTGGTCGGTAGAGCGACTGTCTCGCTTCGTGCAGGTCAGCGTTCGATCCCATACCATCAAAGTGGTTAGGCACCATTCCTTTCCCCCTGTCCCATCCCAAATCCTTATTCTGATCCTTTCTAAGTGCTTTATAGTTGTAATGGCTTGCTTTCCCCTGATAATATCCTACCCCTTACTGTCTTGTCACTGGAAGTGAACCAGGGACTTTTTGGTTGATCTGACTGCACTTTTAGGTAGTAATTTTGGAAAAGGCAACTTAAATGGGTGTGTTAGTGTATGATGTAATCAATGTACATTCAAAATTTTATGTTCATGACTGTCATTACCACCAATACTTAGACTTTCTAATATTTTTTTTGTTTAATTGCACAAATTAATTATCTATTAAACAAATCACTTTAGTTTTGATAATTACACAGTATAGTTACTGTATATACATATAAATGCTGAACCTTTTTTATTGCTGATAGTGCAGTATTTACACAAAGTAAACCTGTCGGTGGATAATTTCATAATAAGGGATTTTCACTGCCAGATTTAACAAAACGGTATAGACAACCCAAAATGCATCTAGAGTATGAAGGCTGTACAATTATGGTATAACTTGCCTAATTGTGCTTGCGGGTGTTGAGCTTTGGCTCTTTGGTCCCGCCTCTCAACTATCAACTGGTGTACAGATTCCTGAGCCTACTGGGTTCTTCATATATCTACATTTGAAACTGTGTATGGAGTCAGCCTCCACAGGTACTGTATGTGCATCACGGATGAACTTGGGGAATCACTGCAGCTGGTGCAGTGTTGCCAATCTGTGTTTGAGACCTCGGTAAACATCTGCCATCTTGAAATGCGACACAATTTTTTGTACATTTTTCATGTGCTCAGGGCATAGTTTTTAACAATATTGGAAGACAAAAACTTTGTTATGACTAATATATCTGCATGTGCACAGAAAGTTCAGTACTGTACAGTCTTCTCATTAATTTGTTCTTCCATTGGTAATAGTGTCCAATTTCTGCGTGCTATTCATATTACCTCTGGCCATAGTTATCAGTTAGTAGCAGTAAATTGTATGTCTCGAGTGTCCTTCCCTTCCACTTGCCTCCACCTGCCCCCTCCCTCGACTATGCCTGCATGCTCCCCTTTGTTGCCTACCCTTAAGATATGTTTATGATGAATCCTGTAGGTAAGATAAAGTATTAAGGTTGATTGAACCAGCAGATTTGTCAGAGTAACAATAATTGTGGATTTTTGTTTAGGCAGTTGATGAGGATCAAATAATATAAAGTAGATTGGTGTAAGAATGTACCTTACGTTGATTTTGGGGCTCAACGTTCCTGCGGCCCGGTCCCTGACCAGGCCTCCTGGTTGCTGGACTGGTCAACTAGGCTGTTGTATGTGTGTGAAGGTATTGGTTAATTAAATAAGTAGTTTGTAATAAAATATACAATCGCAAACTTGTAAACCATGAAACAAATGACCATAATTGTATAGCATACAAAATGCTCATGAATGGATTTACTGAAGAAATACAGGTGGATCTTCTTAACCTGAGAGAAATGTACAAAGTTAGGAAGGACAACCTTTTTTTTCATATTTAGAAAAAGTTGGACCAGGAAACATTGGAAGTTGTAAATGTGCAGGAAAATTGAGGAAATATTTGTTTATTGGATGGATAGTCAAGAGGTGGTATGCACTAAAATATACAAATATATACTAGTACTAAAATATACACTAGTATTATATACACTAAATATGCACTAGTAAATATAAATATAAATATACACTAGTAAATATACACTAAAATATACACTAAGTACTAAAATATACACTAGTATTAGCCACTGCAGGGAAACACTAGTACAGTGGTACTTCCGTTTTAAAATTTAATACATTCCAAGATTGTCCGATTATGATGGTCTATAGAATCTGTCTATAGACACTTGTTTTTCCGTACGTTTAAACACTTGTCTGTAGTGAGACATCACATTGTCTCACTATAATCTCTTGTTTTTCCTGTCATCATCCTCGTACCTATTTTCTTAGGTTGAACATTACACTGACTTTCTTGGAATCCATGGCATGATATGCTGTATAATAAGAACTTTCATGTTCAGAAACCAAAAAGGCACAAAAACAATGAATTTTGCAAAGATTTCAAGCACGATCATCACTAGGCAAGAGACACTGGTAAACTGAAGCGCGCCATGTACTCGGTCGGTCCATACGTGTATCAACAAACTTGAGCACCGAGTCAAATTTTTAGAAGAAATTGAGCTCGAGGACTGAAAAAATACGAAAACGGGCATTCTAAAACGGAGGTTCCACTGTATATTCCCACATCCACTCTACAAAATCATTACAGCAAGCATTGACCTACCAAGAGCCAGGTTGTTTCACAATACACCCAATAATGCCTGCATGTTTACCTAGTGGCAAATTTAATCTCTATCATAAACTCCTTTTTTATTTTAGATTTAGACTATTAAATACAGATTCAAAACTGTACTGGTCTCAAAACTAGCAGTTAAATCCAGTGGATCACTGATTGAGGCCCTTTTAATCAATTGGATACTGATGACTTTACAAATTTTCCATTTGTAACACTAAGAATAAAAATATAAAGATTCAGTACAGTATTTTATAAATATTTACTTGAAGTATGGTTAGTTCATTTTGCACATAAAGCATAACTGATGATTTTTTTTATACAGTGTGTGCTTCCGAAGATGCGTTCACACAACTCGGACGTGTCTTCCCAAGAAGTTCTACCCGACTCGACCCAGGATCCTGAAGAGGAGTCGCTTCCAGATTTGATTCCACCATTAGCAGATGATGATGAAGCTGCCAGCTCTCCAGCATCACCAGAACAGGAGATCGTAGATGTTGAATCTTATCAGCCATGTGTTGTTGATCTTACATGTGAAGATGAAGATGAGGTGGATGTGGTGGAGATTGTTGCCCAAGAACAACCAGTGATTGTAAGTTGTGTGGTTCATTGTTCTTCTGCATGCTCATATAATGTATATACTAAACATATACAATTTAATGAACAAATCCACAGGAGCCGTGATAAGGGTTGGAACCTATGCGCTGGGTGTTCGCAGGCACGCTTTAGTCGACTGTGCCACAACATGGTCAAAAGAATTGCAACCTGGGATACAACTGCACCCACTAGGATTCCCGAGGCTTCCACTGAAGCTGCACCAGAGTTTCACACGATTTCCCCTGTGCACTCGGGCTGTGTCGTCCAGTAGTTCTACCTCTGATGCCCCTCTTTCAATGCACAGAGAAATCACATTATCATGATATATCAATGAAGAAATCCACTATGCCGTGATGTAGTCGACTAGAGCGCACCTGGGAACACCCAGTGCATATGTTCGAACCCTCATCACGGCTCCTGTGGATTTGTTCATTGATATATCATGATAATGGGAGTTCTATGTGTATACAGTTTAATAATACATCCATGTCCAGTAATGGCAATTTTTCTTGTAGCCATGTCATTAAATAACTGAAACGGTTGTTAGCGTTGATTTAATTTACTACCTGTAATGGACTCGATGCATTTTGGTATGCTCAACCTATTGTCCTCACAGGTTAGAGGGAAAGCAATACAAAATGGCAAAACTGCAATATACGGTATAGTCCATGAGGGTGTCCCAAGAGTAGAGATGGGTCTGTGTTCGAGGACGAACCCAGATATTAGCTGGCTGGCTGTTTATTGGATTTGAAGTGCTTTTACTACTACTTCTACTGTGTCAATTCTTGTTGTCACTGTCAATTATTTCAGGGTTGCTGGTCCTCGATCTCTGATGGTTTAGTGCGTAGAAATGATGTGCATTTTCAGGCATTTTGAGACATTTTGTCATCAAAGATAAATTTATTGTTGGAGCTGACAGACCCAAAGTGGGTATGTAAAAGCATACTACATATCATTGGTTTCTTTTGAAGGTGTGTTGAGGGGTGTACAGTACTCATAAATAATACTCCCTCACCTGACTCGTGTGACCAATCTTCTAGTTTTTTTTTCTTTTATAGCCGTTAACTTTTAGCTTTATACATATACGTAAGAGGTCCTACTCACAGTTGCTGTGTTTACCTATCAATAACTTCAGGGGAACATGATACAGCTTTTTTATGCTCTGCCTCCTAGCCATTTATACCTGGTGCACCTCTTGCCAGAGGTGCGGTGGAGCATACATGGAGTTGATGTATGGACGACACAATATGATGTCACATGCTTACACATTCAAAATGTGCGGCATGTTGCAGATCTTCAGTGTTCTGCCATATTATTGTCACCTATTAGTGACATTTACTTGCTTATGCTTTTCCTATGCTGTACAATTGAAAGGTTTAATGGGATGCCAATTTTGTTTTCTTACTCGAACAATCTGAAGAGGTGACCTTTTACAAAGAATGGTAATTACACGCACATTTCAGTCTTGACACTGCTTTCTGAAAGTCTAAAATAGCTGAAAGTGAAGGAACATTCACAGAATTTACACAGGACATTCAGATTATGCAGATATCAGAAAGACAGTTATCATGATCATTAATGTGGAAATTGTGGAGTCATTTTGAAAATGTTGTTGCCCTACTCTGGCCAGGTAGCCAAGATTACAGTTCAAGACAGTTGCTGGCTTTCACATGTTGAGACGGTCAAAGCTCTGATTAAGATTTTAAATCGGGTTCTGTCTTGTTTATGTAAATGCTGCATCACTGGGAAGGAGGTACTGTCCAAGTTGTCATTCCCTCTTCTTTGCCTTGGAAAAAAAAATAAAATAGCCTCTTTGTACATAATCACCTACTTTTTTAATGTTTTATAATTTACTATTCTTGAAATTGGAGATTGTACATTAGTTTCCAAACTAATTTAGATTTCATCTTGGTTGATGTACATTTACTTCTCCTTCTACTTGAGTAGCACTGCAATGACAGTTTGGATGCCCTACTGGAGCTCAGCCACTGTGAAGTAATGGCTCTGGAGAGTTGGGGAGGAACGGCTGAGGTACACCAAGACATCCGGAAAGAAGTGAGCATAGTAGAGCCTTCAGGCTGCTTTTTCAGCTCAAAGAAAACGAGGCCTTTAAACTGCCAACCTTACCTTACCTTGAGGTTACTTCAACTACACAAACAATTCACACTCTTCAAGGGATTCACTTAAATTAGCTTTAAACTAGTTATTACCACTATTGGCAGGCCTGGCCTCAGCCCTCCTGTCTCCACAACACCTCGGCTCTTTTGCTGATGCTGTACTTACCAGTACAGCTTGTTATGCTACCAGTCTGATTGTGGACAAACCCTGCTGCTTTTAGTTAAGTATCAGCCATCCTTGGACTCTGTTCTGTTGGGGCCATTTGCTTTGTTCCCCTTTAGTATAGGCTTCATGTACACATTTTGTTCCAGATTTTTGTGTGGGCTTTACTCTATGCATTTTGGGCTGCATATACTCGGTTTTCTTTCCTTTGTTTCCATTAGTGTTGCCTTTGCAGAGTCAGAGTTCCCTTCTTTGGTGTATTCGGAAGCTTACGGGGAGCCGGTCGGCCGAGCGGACTGCACATTGGACTTGTGATCCTGTGGTCCTGGGTTCGATCCCAGGCGCCGGCGAGAAACAATGGGCAGAGTTTCTTTCACCCTATGCCCCTGTTACCTAGCAGTAAATTAGGTACCTAGGTGTTAGTCAGCTGTCACGGGCTGCTTCCTGGGGGTGGAGGCCTGGTCGAGGACCGGGCCGCAGGGACACTAAAGCCCCGAAATCATCTCGAGATAACCTCAAGATTACCCCCGAGAGGACTGGCCACCAGAGTGGGGAGCCTTGCCCTGGGCTCTTCGAAAAACTTGATTCTTCTGTTTGGGCACTTGGCTGGAGCCCAACATTCTTTGTTGCATTAGTGCACTGGGATTTGCACACTGGTTTACGCGGCACACCGTCATTGCCACTTGTTGCCTGGTGGTTTGGGCTGTGATTGGTGCTCGTCTTTTCAGTGAGCAGCCCTAGTGCCCGAGATGCCCGATTGGTTATCACCTTTAGGCCCTGGGAATCCCCTGCAAGTCTCTGGCCTGGTCCGTACGGCTTGGCCCGTCGTACCTGTTCTAGCTGTGTGCGAGTTTGTGGGGGTGGTTTATCATCCTTGCTACAGGATGATCATTTTTTCTACCCCCGCCATGCTGATTGCTTGGTCAGTGATACCTATGACCCTGAGCACTGTGAAGTTTGCCCTCACTATATCTCTACTTTGATGGAATTTGCCTCCCAGTTGGAGGCATTTCAGGCAGCTGCCCCTTTTCAAACTAGGTTTCCTTGTGATAGGCATTCATGGCATATTGGTCAACTGGATACACCAGAGTTGGCCTCTATGGTGTTGAAGTACCCAAAGTTGGAGGTCTCGGTTACCTCCACCTAGACTGTGCCTCTTCTTCCTTCCCCCACAGGTATGGTTTGCCCAGTTTCTGGTCTTCCTCCTCATTGTATTGAGATTCCTTGATTATCTTGTGTTGACATTATTCCTCCTTGATTGCGATCAGTCATTGAATTTTAATGTAGTTTCTCAGTTTAAATTTTCACCTGTGCCTTATTGCAATCTTCTGTTAGGTTTATGGAAATGGGGTTGGAAATCAGGCTACCATATTATTGCTACTTTGCTAGTTTTTAAATATGGTAATTTGGCTGCAAAGGTGACGAGTCTTGCAGTGGTGGCAGCAGGTGATGGAAAGCTTGCTGCTGGTTGTGACCTCTACATTTGCAATACTTGTGTGGTCAATAATACCCCCCTCTGTCCATTTCTTTTGCTCTCAACAGGCAAAATTGTCTCCAATTAGAGACGATCTATTTCACTTGATTGATGAATAGATTACCCAAAACTTCAACTCAGGGTTGAAGTGTTTGGTAGCCTTTTTTCTTCTTTGAAAGCAAAGTACAAGGACGGTGTGATACCATATCAATATTGCGCTTGTCAAGAGTTACTTTTTAATAGCATTTTGTGGTTGTGCATGGAACCATTAATGCCTTTTTTTTATATACTGTTTATGTATATATAATGTTCCACCCATGTCCAACTACAGGCAGATTTTGGAATGTGCTTCACATGTGTGTGATGGCAGGCAGCCTTTAGAGTGGGTGCATCCTACCAGTGTGTAAGTGTTCTCTTGTATTCAGAGCAGTTATCATGATCGACTAACACTGTACCCATGAACATTGGCATCATGTTGGTAGAAAGGTGATTATAGTAAACCATTGTTATTTGCAGTCTTGGACCAAACCCCTTTGGAAAACCAACTTTTCATTGTTAGAATTTTATGCTCTAACATCCCAGAGAGCAATCAAGTATGGCTGGTAAAGCTCGTCTTCTGGCCAAAACATAAGACTACTGTGTTCCATTCCCAGGAATTAACCCTGTGGTTCCAATGATCTTGTGGTACTAGAGGAATTATTAGAGTTGGTAAAGCAATCATGGACTCACAGGGATGATTTAGGTTACTATATAATATAGTTGAAAAATAACTCTGCCTACAGCAATGATGCCCTGCCTGAAATTCAACACCAAATATTTATGTAATTTTTTTGTTGCAAATACTTAGGACATGCACATTATGACAATATAGAAAATGTAATTACGATGTGAAATTCTTGACGGTAGCTTACATTAGACTTGGTGTACAGTTGACATTCATTTTATAAGCCAATTTCAAATTCAAATGGATTAATCTTTTTACTTAAATGATAACCTCACAAGGAAGTAGTTGACAATTTGAAAATACAAAGTTGTTTGATTTACAAGGTTATTCAGCTCTTGTTTATTCATTGTTGTTGTTTTTTTTTCTATTCAATAGTTATTCTTTACAGTATAAATATATAGGGCTATATTTTCCCAAAGTTTAAAGTATGGCAGTAATAAATTAAACATGGACTTAATTTGCAAATTGAAAGTTGAGAAAGTTCCAAGCATGGTAGCTTTTTCCTTCGTTAATTTTCTCCTGTGGGTTGATAAAAAAATATGCATAACTATTTATAGGAAAAATCTTTATTTCTAACTGGTATATAATTGTAATAATCTATTTGCATCTTGTACATAAGTTTACAATTTTTTCAAGATACAGTACTGTATAAAGTTTTGTATATTGCAGTTTGTTGAATTTAATGTGCATTACAGTATGTGGGGACCGAGCAAAGAAGAATGACTACTAGACGGCAAAATGCAAATGCAAACGCAAACGTTTTGCCTCTTGAAGTAGAGGACCTAACTCTTCCAGAAAGACAAAGTGCCACTGATAACAACAATGAAAACAGCAACCATAATAATAATAATAATAATAATAATAATGCTATACCAGTGGAAAGACAACCACTTCCATGGCATTTTGAAGCTCCCAGTGTAGATTTTCACAATCCAAATCTCCTTTTTGGAAATCTTCTTGAAGAAGGACCGGTGACAACAGTTGATGACCATAACCCTCGCCATAGACCCAGCCTTTTTAGGCCACGGGTTACCATAGAGCTTCGCCCTAGTTCAAGGTGTATGTATTTTTTCTGTTTATGTACAAGTGAATAACTGTGCGTTATACATGTATGTGTGTTAAAATACAGAAGTGTATTGGATGAGAGAGCTATGCTTGTGATGGTCTCTTTCCTGTAATTGTCTGGTGGTTTTGGAGTTTCCAGTGGTGTTGTCATACACTAGTCTCATTTAATATATTTCCATCCATCTACCGCTGCATGCAATGCACGAGCGTGCACACTTTCCTTCCATCCTCGCTTGCCCACTCCTTGCCTGCCCACTGTATAGTCCACTACTGGTTTTGTGAGAAGATATTAAACGTGTGACACTTAAACAGATACCTTACGGTTTTACACATTAACGGGGTAAAGGTTAGTTGGTTACAGTTTCCTTTATCAAATAAGAGGTGAGGTCACTGCTCAGTCTTGTGGGTCCTTGACAAGGCTAATGTGCTATTTGTCTGACAATTAAAAAACAATAAACATGGTAAATTATGTAATATTGCTGAACCTTAAAATTTGGAGTAGAGTAATGCCTGGTTACTGAATACTGTACTTGGTTATTGATGGTTATGGTAGGTTAGAAATTTATAATGTAAAGTTTATTGGAAAATTTATGGAATACTTCAAATGAGAAGGTAATCTTCAAAATGTACTAGCATCCCTCTATTTACATTAAGGATAAATTCCCAGAAACATACTTAAATAGAATTCTGTTTTCCCATAAGAATTAATGGTATAATGGGGGAGTGGGCTGCATTCCTTGGAAGAAATTTTAATAATTCTGGAGAGGCTGAATGGTGGCTCTCTGAAGCTAGCCTAATGAGATGGCTCCATACATGTGGATCGCACCGATCTCAGGAGTCTAGAGCCTGGCACCCTCGGAGGTGCAGGGAGCAGGGGATTCTATATGCTCACACTCGCCAAAGGAAACATCCAGAAAGTGAAGCAAAAGTAGGCAACAGCAAGGTTCACAGAAAAGAGAAATGACTATTAGTTTGCAAACAATCCAACCAGTAGTGTTACAATTGCCCTAGTTACAACTGGCCACCACCAGGTAGCAGCACTGCACAGAGCTGTCTGCTCCCATGTCACCACTAGTTGGTCCTTTAGACTGATGTCTGCATGTATGGATCACGTTTTTAACTTGCCCAAGCCTTTAAAGGCCCAACTATCTCTAGACAAGTTTTGGCCATCCTTTGGACTGTCTTGCAGGGGCTCATTTGTTTTTGTATTGCAAGATTATTTGATTCAAGTGCACATGTTTACAAGCTTAACTTACGGGGAATTTGGAAACTGTTCACTTTAAGTTTAACAACTGAGGGGAGGGAAAGATGGTTAGGTTCCTTAAGTCCACTCTTGAGCACCTAGAAGAAGGAAGAGGACCCAGAAAAGACCCCTGCCCAGTGTATAGGACAGCAATCAAGTGTACACTTAAGATGGCAGCCCAAAGCAGGAGTAGTACATTAAGCTGTTAAAAATTTATGACTGGGTAAGAGATAGTGTTCCAGAAATTGCCGGCACTTTGGGAACAGCGCACAGGCCTATCTTTCTATGGCCCTCCAAACTGTCAGGTGACAAATTGAATAGGAGGGACTTGGTGCAGAACTCTTCCAGTCAAACTCTATGATAAACTTCTCCTTCGAGAGCAGCCTTTTGTTGTTAGACCTCGCCCAATGTCTGGTGCCTTTGATCAATGCCCTGACCTAGGGGACAGACACACCCTTGGTGATTCGTGGCCAAGGTAGGCAGTGTTATGTCCTGCCTCGTGATTGGTTTGTGCTGGTGCCAGGGAAGCAGGGTAACAGGGTGTATAAGCTAGGGATTAGAATTGGACAATTAGTGAGAGCTGGGGCTGTAAGACGAGTCAGAGGGTGAAGGGATTACTTGTGTGGGCCAGGCCCTATACCAGGTAATTGTGGAATACATCACTACAGGGAAGGTATATGTCTGCATCCATGTTGCAGCATTATGAATATTGCCAATTTCATTGCCTTGGATAATAGTTATGAAGTACAGTAATTGCATTATTATTACAAATTGTTACCAAGATCAGTGTGTATCTGTGGACTCCCCCAGGATTAGTGTGTTGGCTGCTGGGTGAAGAGGCATACTGTTAAAGATTGGCACCTAGTCAATCCTCCTTGGCCAGGATTTGAATCTAGGTCAGAGTGTGGGGAAGTGTTACCATTGTAGATTAGAACATTGTACAAGTGGATATTTTTTTTTTTGTGATCTTTGATTCCTGTTCTACTTGTCTTTTTAGTAGAGAATGCTAGCCTAAAATAAGATATCAGAACTATGGCTTCCTAAGACTGGCTGGCCAGCTGCCTATTGGCCACCTACTGTATTGCTCTCCCCTTCTGTCCCTCTCTCCCACCCATCCACACACTGTCCCTACCTGCTCTCTCTCTCTCTCCCTCCCTCCCTCTCCCCCAACACCTTTACTTCTCCACCTCTTCAGCTACTTTCCAAGGCATAATCCTGGCCATCTGGTGGTCCAGGGAGTCTTACAGGTGGTATAACAAGAATTTTAAATGTTTGTTGTCTTGCCTGTTTGTCTAGGTTTCATTACTTCTAGATACTGGAATATGATGTAAGGAGAGCGATACATTGGTACATACTCTTGCACATGGACTGCAACAGAACAACAAAGGCAGGGAAATTTGTAATGGGAAAACCATAAGAATCATGTGGAGATGCACCAACAGCATGGGATGGCAAGTATCGAGGGGGGGAAAAAAAGAATGGAACCTGCCCACCATTGACACATGTTGTCAGTGCTTATATGTGAATATATCTCGCTATTAGAATTTCAGGAGTAAAAAGATCAAGCACTTGTAACTTACTACTGGTAACCTGAATTTCATTAATGTCAAGCACACTAACTTTAGTTTATTCGGGTTTCTTTTTTAACCCTTTGACCATAATTTCTATTTGGGTTAAAAAAAAGTGTGAACTCATTTTGGATTACTTGGAGATTTTGGTTACTGGAATCATACTTAGCAGGCTTGTACAATACTTCATGTTGGCCATTTTTAATGTTTTGACACTGAGGTGTTATCTTTCCCCCTCCCCTCCTTACCAGTTAGTGCCTTATCCCAGACCTGGACTGACCGTGCTTGAGTGTTCAAAGTAATTTCTGAAAGACATCGGCTAAGTGGTTTGTCTTCCTCCTCCCATGTTTGGCCTCACAGGTTTAGGCTCAACTGTAAGCTGCTCTACTCTGCAGCATCATTATGGGTTGTACGCTGGTGTTATCTTGATGATTTCGGGGCTGAGCATCCCCACGGCCCGGTCCTCGACCAGGCCTTTTTTGTTACACCCCCAGGAAGCAGCCCGTAGCAGCTGTCTCACAGGTACTTATTTACTGCTAGGTAACAGGGGCATCAGGGTGAAAGAAAGATTTTGCCCATTTGTCTCCGCCTCCACCGGGGATCGAACCTGGAACCTCAGGACTACGAATCCTGTGCGCTGTCCACCTAGCTGTCAGGTGCCCGTGATTGAATTGATTTCCTCCCTAAGGTGGGTGTCGGTTCCTATTCTCCAAGGACGACTCGCTGTACATTGTTCCTTCTTAACCACTCTGATTTGAATAGTTTCATTCCCTCTTCGACCTTCTGTATGACTAAATTCAGCCAGGTCCCCGGACATTCAGGGTATGTATTGGCACATCTCCAGTCATCAGATGTTCAAGGACTGGCTAGGGTTTCATGTGGGTATCATTGTTACCACTTGAGGATTCTAATCCCGTCTGTTTGAACCTGGCAACCAGAACTCTTATCAGATTTAATGCAGGTTGTGGCGACTATTTAGTATTTTGGAGATGTGCATCTGTGTCCTACCTCTTGGCTTTAGGGACTATACCCGTTTCTGTGGCCACCCCCCTTCCACTACTGTTGGGTTTGTTTTATAATATTCCATTTAGTTTGCTTCAACCACCTCTTCTAACCTGTTAAATGTTGTATTTTTCGCTTAAAGTTCTTCCTGGTGGTGATAATGGCTTTTTTGCGACATTGGTTTCCATCCGTGTTCTATTGTTCAGTTTTTATTGAACATTATGTTCAATAAATTCCTTTGAAATCTTATGACATTGTTGACTTCCCTTCACAATCCCCCAACCTCTCCCCACTCCATCTACCCAGGAATGCACTTTTTAACACTCAAACACTTCTAGTTTTTCAAGTGGGGACTTGAAACCCATGCTTGAGGATGGGTTTCTCAGGGGTTGTATAATGAACCTTTGCCTGGGGTTCTGAAGGTTTTTGGAAAACCTTTGCATGTGGTTCTGAAGGTTTTCTGGTTGTTTATTAAGCATTACACACCAGTTTTTCTACCTGCTCTTGCAGTAGGGTATTCCACTTGGTACAGTAGTTGTATTCCACTAGTAGCAAGCTCTGACTGACCCTTTGTTAGAATTTTGTTCAGTTGGGGGAAAAAAATTGTATTCATAAAAAAAGCCTCGAAATACCCTATGGTGGTGTAGGTAGCTCGCTACCAAACTAGGCCACTTTCCTCAAGGTGAAGTGGGCTGTCAGGTTCACAATCACTTAATCAGATCATGTTTGGTATTTGGTACCATGTATCCCTAGGGAAGTTTCATCTGAGTGGGTGACTGTGACAAAAGCTCTCTAAACTTATTCCAGCTTGTATTCTCCATGCAGTTGTATTTAATACTTTTCACTTCACTTTTGTTACCAACTGTTTTCTCAAATTCCTTCTTTGGTTTTGATTATTTCACAATCTTGCCTTCGGTTCCTTTATACTGTATATACGTGTTGTAGTCAGAAGTCCAACTTTTTTTTTATAGCTAGCACTCCCACACTTCTATCATGCCTTTTTATTCTTTCCCACCATCCTGTATTGCTAATTCATCTGCAGTTGTATTCCATGGTTTTCATAAATACAGTAAATGTTTCAAAGATCTCTAATATTTGAGTTCTCTAATGTCATGAAAGTTTTGCTCATATAGCATGTAGAAATAACTCTATGAAACGTGGTCAAATGCGTTTCTTTTTTCCATTTGTTTGTATGCAATGGCAAAAAACTAAAGCTGTAAATGCAATAAGTTATTGTATTATTAATTTATAGTTTTGCCGCACAGTACTGTACTTAAGTATGTTTAACAAGAGACATTTTTTTGTAGATCAGCGTAGCAGATCCAGATCACCACAACTTCCAGATTTTCCTAGAGATGCTCCTCGAACACCAGAATTCCTTCAAGATCTTGACGAGCTACTAGCAGAAGTGGAAAATAGGAGACCTCTACCTCGTGTGCTTGGCCAGACGGAAAATCCTCTCACGGCAGCTCAGATAGTAGCTCAGGAGCACCATCACAGAGTAGCACAAATCACTGCCCCAGAGGCTCCTCCCAGTCCACCCCCACCAGAACAGCCCACCATCTCGTGCCTTGTGTGCTTAGACTCCTTAGCCACCATACAAAACTCTTCACGTAGTTTGTGCTCAACTGTGTGTGGTCATGTGTTCTGCTCGTCTTGTATAGAAGAAGTTGTAAAACAGAGGAAACAGTGTCCAGTTTGCAGGAAAAAGTTAACAAAGAAACAGTATCATCCACTTTTCATTTAAAGACATAGTATTTTGATTGGCAGAAAAAAGGTGGGTGGTTTCGTGTACAGTTATTTCCTTTATCACAAGTTATGCAACTCGTGTGAAAGGAACAGCAAGTGTGCAACTCGGGGAACACACACACACCAATCAACTTGGTTACCATTGTCATGACAGTGCAGCAAAACTTCATTCTCTATACAACATATTTAGGAGTGTAAATCATGTGTTGTAATGTTTAGAACATCAATTGCAGAATATTGCAATGAGTAGCACAAAAGCATCTAGAAATTCCTCGCCACAGATTTTTATATTTTCATTTTTAACAAGTCTCAAATTCTATTTAACTTATTACACAATTTCTATAAATGACTCCAATGAAAAGCAAAAATGAATTTCATTTGAAGTGTTTTACCAAGAAATGTGAAAATATGGATTTTTGTGGGAAAAATACATTAAATCCTGCATTTAGGCATGTTTTGTGAATTAGGGTAATGGTAATAGCACTTCCATCATGTGTACTCTGACAAGTTATCATATTGATTAAGCCCAAAGAAATACATTGTGGTTCCAGTAAACCAACTGACAATTGGCAGCTGAATCCCAAAATTATTTTATAGCTTCATGCAATCGGTGAATACTGCATAGTGTGAGCAGTTGGTTGTTTGCCAGAGTCTGTCATAACAAATCAAAACAAATGTGTGGCTAATGATTCTCGGATTACTGTACTTTGCTCTATGGAGTGCAATTAATGTTCCTATTTTTATACACAAGCATACTTGATAGCTTGTAAGATAATAAAAAGGAAAAAAATGGATTGTCACTCCTACCTTATTGTATCGTACATAAGTGGCTCAATACTCTATGGTACTCATGTTTAGAATGAGTTTTTTTTTTTTTTTTTTTTTTTTTTTCAAATTGGCAACAAATATGCACAGTTGCATTGACCAGGATGTTTACTGCGTTTAATTTTAGCTGTTGGAACATAATTTTATAGGAAAAATAAAAAATTATGAGAAGCCAGTTGTATTGGTAATAATTTTAATTAATGCTTTTAATTCCTTTACACGAGAGCTTTGACCTGCCATTACTTTATAAATTGCATTTTAAATATTGCTAGCGTAATGCGGTGGCTGACTGCCCACGAACTGGAAAAAAGTTAACATTCTAACTTGTGTGCTTCTTAAAGTCGTTAATTTTTCCGAGAGCAATATTTTCCATATTAAGTTATGTAATGCCGCCACACAGGTAGTATAGTACAGCACATACTCATTGGTATCAGAGTGGAATTATTGAAATTATATAATATATGAGACATAACCAAAAAATTTTAAATTTGAATCTTGTGGGACAAATGAACTAAAAATTTAATTTTGTGAATTACGTTGATATATTTTGTAATAATTATTGAAACTGTACAAGGAAGTTCACTTGGAGTACATCAACTTAGATTTATTTGTTAGTCTGTCTTGTTGGCCTTCCTTTTCATACATCATTTTGTATGGTATACATTTGACATTAATTGCCAGGCTTGAGAGCACATTTATAGCCATACACAGTACTGTATTAATATATGGCAATAAAATATGTCCACCCATAAATATTCTAAGAACTATCTTGTGAAACTTCTATCTTTTGTTATTTTGTTCATATTGAACTGATGACAAATTATTGTTGCCATTATATTGCATAAATCGGGGCATTGTACTTAATTCAGTGCCGAGAATTGATGAGGGGATCATCCGTGCACAGCAGGCAAGAAGTACGAGGCGCTGCTTGTGAAAGCAAGGTACACAAGTCTTGTAAACCCTAACAAAGCTGTATATAGTATTGTCTTTGTGTTCAATGTAAGTGATGTTGCAAAGCAGCTAAATAAAGCTCAGGGTATTAATTAACTGCAGTTGTGAAAATTTGTAGTGACCCAAACTATAATTTTGATCTGAATTCATTAAATTTAAATAAATATATTTAAATTTGAGTTATGCAAACCCATCTTTGAAAAAAGCAATACCGACAGTTGTTTAAATTTAAACATACGACAGTGAAATCGTTTAATTGCAACAAATATTCACGAAGATTGCATTTTATCTTGATGTATACTGTAGTAATATGGGTGGGTGGTTGTAGTATTTGGACTCTCACTCTTACTTATTCCATTCCTGATGATCATTGAAAATCTCTATCAGTAGCTCCATCACAAGGCATTTTTATTTATAAAACTTTGTGACGAGTAGCCAGTCAGTGTTGAATCAAAAGCAAGTTACAGTACAGTACAAGGAAAAAATTAATACTCGATATATATTTTTTCATTGCAATAATGATTCATTGTATGGAGAATGTTTAAACAATTGCATAGGTATTACTTAGTGTAATGGTGGTTCTTGACATTTACCTAGTTGGACTAAAATTGATTTGCAAAATTGTACTGAATAGCCATACAAGTCGCCATATGAATTATATATAACTGCCAATTATGGATAACTCTGGCAGGTAATTTTTGCATGGAATAATTATTGAAAGTTCAGCAATAGTTAAACAGTGCCTGTTCAAATGACAGGCAACAAATTTCCCTTTGAGATAGACAGACACGTGCTTTACAAATGCTTTCCTTCCCCTCTTAAATGCCCGTTTCAGATTTGGGTTTGTTCAGATAAAGTTTGAGTAACTGGTGGGGCAGTTATTTCTGAATAAGAATGTGCAATAAATATGGAACTAGTTTCCCCAGTGGCCATACACAGCAGTACTGTACTTGAGCAGTGTTCACACACTAATGGATGACTCTGCCATGGCACTAGAGTACAAGGGGCAAGGCAGTCTACTGAGGTTACTGCATCACCATTAATCTCTACATCAGTCAACCCAACACTATCAGCATCCATCACCACCTTTTCTATCTAAGTAACAATGCTCCATCAACTGTAATCAAGTTAACAAGTGGATCAGAACTTCTCGTATTGGTGAGTACAAACAAAACACTAGTCAAATTTTTGCAACAAAATGTAAATTGTTTTCCCCCCCCCCTAGCTTTTCAGGATCATGAACCACTTATCCAAACGAGACAGGTTATTCGTTCAGTGTCAGTCCCGTGGGGTTCTGTAAGCACGTGGCTGTCTGTACCCAAATATATCTTGGTAATAATTAATAACTTAATATTTATGTAGAAATGTGTGCCCTTAATGCCATTTGTCCCAACACTGAGCTTAGAGAGACAGACTACCATAACAGAAATATGTACACATGTTGCACAGAAGCACATTCATTGCTGAAGAGTTGTCAAATATTTGTAAAATAACATCAATTTAGTTAAAAATGTATTTTATATCATTGAAATGGTAATGGTGGCGAATTATTCCTGCTCTGGAGTGTTGGATCAAGATATGCCTGTTTTGATTTTCTTAGTACTGTACTGTATAGTTACTTTAATAGTGTATGATAAGAGTACTGTATACAGTTTTTGATGAAAGACTCAAGACTGCTGGTCTTGGGTATATTAGAAACCTTGTACAAAAATTATTCCAGTGGAAAGCCTTTGAAAATGTATTTTTTTTTATACTCTGAACCTATTTAGACAAGATCTTCAAATTAATTTATTTCACGAGGTGACCTCGCTATTTTAAATTTGACTAGCTCAAAAATACTGTAGTACCATTAATGCTAAACTTTTATTGAAAGATGGAGGAAAGAAAGCCTCTTCATTATTAATTTATTATCATTAGCATATTTTGTTTTTTGGACTAGACCTTAACTTAGTGTGATACGGTATGTCTTCTTTTTCTTTTCTTTTTTATACCACTTTTTTCTAATTTAAATTTGTTTCTTCCCTAGATTATCTCAAGTGTCCAATACTTAGTGTATGCAACCTTTAATTCCTTTCAGTAAAGCAAAGGCAATCATGCAGGTACTATTTAATTTTTTCACTAATGAAGACTATTATACCCCACCCCATGGAAAAGGGGAAATAATTTATTCGTTTTGTTGGTGAAAGGAAGTCTGTGTGTGCGTATATTTATATTTATTTAAGCTTGTATTGAAGTCTCCCCTCACGCCCCCTAGGTCAAGCCACTGACCTTCCTCAAGATGTAACCTTACAAAAGTTGCCTAACTCCAGTGTATCTGTTTACTGCTAGATGAACATAGGGATTAAAGGAAATGTGCCCAATTATTTATCCCATCCACCATGATCTCCGATTGTGAGTCTAGAACGAAGCCAGCTGCACTAAATGACCCTCGTATTGCAGTGATATTTATATGCAGTAATTGACTCACAATGTCTGTATTTCTTTATTCGACAGTTGTATTATCAAAATGCTATTCACTGTAGGACCTGCATGAAAAAAGCCACTATTTTAACAAATAATTTCAGTGCTGTAATAATTATTCATTTTGTATTCATCAGAATTCATTACACAACTTTATGGGACAAAGGTTAACCAAAATTGCAGTGTTAGTGTTAAATTGTATCCCCCTTGAGCATGAGTTTCATTTTGATGGTTCCTGATGAAACAAAATTTATAAGTGTTGTCAAGGCCAGTTAATTTTAAATAACTTTTTTTTTTTACTAACATAATAAGGAATAATTAAACAGGTATAATCTTGTTTTCATTAAAATTATGAAGTGCTGAAAATTTACTGGAAATCAGTGTACAAAGGGTTTATAAGTTTGTACAGTATTTAGTACATTGTAGTGAGGATACAATTATTTTTTGTAATGTGTTATTATAACATAATGTTGTGCAAAATTTCAATGGAAGCATGTATAGCATCCACCCACACCCCTCCCCTCCCCCTCCCCCCTTTTCTTCCTTCTGCCTCTTTCCCTGATTTTATTCTTTTGAAACGTTGCCATGTTAATAAATAACGAAGAAAGAAATTACTGTACTTTTGAAAAGATTTGCCGCACTTGGATCTTATTTAAGGTATTGTATACGATTTTGTAATTCAGGGATATAGTTATCTAATGAGATTCTTTCAAGAGATTTGGAATATGAAAACAAATTTGCTAAGCCTCCTTCATAACGAAAATCTACTTTAGAGCTTTTTGTACACCAACTAATTAACGAGTCAACCTGACGGCTAGCTCTCATTCAGTTACTCTGAACCTCTAAATTTTTTGTGAAGGACTCGTGGCGCTTGAATCGATGGGCTTGAATGTCAGAATTTATTCTTATACTTTTCAGAGGCACAATAATTATTTTGTCTTGAATTTTATGTACAGTATTATATGGTACCAAAATGCATAGTGTACTGTATAGCACTAATAATCAATTTGGACAAAATCTTCAGGGAAAAACATTTTGTTGAAAAGTCAACAGTACCGAATATCAAATATAATGCCACATTCTTTTGATGATCCTGAATTATTCCTTGTTAGTTGTGGCTGACTACAATTATGCTGATGTGAATGTTTCATTAATTTTTATTTTACAGAACTCCAGTATTGCAATGGCACTGTGTAATAAGGTCATGATAAACATTTATTTTTCTTCAAATTTGTGAATTGCCAACAAAATTACTTTGTTCACTATTTTTCTTATTTGTCTTAAATTTATATAATTTTTCAACAAATTTGTGTAATTGTCCTTTCCTGATAACAGTAGTAGTTTGTGCTCAAGTACTGAGATTCCATTGCTATTGTGCAAGATTAGCTAAGTAGTTAACTTGTATCTTGTAATGGAAGTCTAAATATAAAATTTTGAAAGTAGCCTAATTTTATCTCCAATAACTGGCATACAGCATATACTATTAGAGGAAGGATAATTTCATTTATCAGCATTAGTGATGACTTAAAATGATTCTGATAAGTAAAGGAATTTTAGTATAGTACTATTCTGTAATTTTTTGTATACATTAACCCTTTAAAACCAAATTTCAGAGCATGATCAAAGGCATATGTTAAACCAATCCTCGAATATTGCATCTCGAGCACAAAACCTACACTTTGTAAAAAGGCTAAGAAGACAATTAAGATGGTCCAAAGATTTGCAGAGAGACTGGTACCAGAGGTAAGTGAAATGATGTATTAGGAAAGGCCAAGTGAACAAACTACAGAGAGGACAAGAGGCACTGTGATACCGTAAAAAGTATAATGGACAAAGTGGATAAACCCGTTTGCTGGTGAGGTACAGCAGAATGAGGAAACACAGGCAGTTCAAAACCAAACCACCACATAAATTTAAGGATATTCCAGTATGCGGCAAGTGGTAAAAAGCTAACAAGTTGAAAGAATCCACCAGTCAGTTTAAAGAGTAAATGTTATTGTTTAGTTTGGAGAAGTAATTACATTAGGTACAATAGCTCCATAAATACTACCTTACATCTAGGTCTTTTGATATGGAAGTGTATAATATGGATGTGGGCCTCCTCACTTAAGCGAGGAGGCCAAAAAAAGAAAAGGTACACAATAAAACTTCATCTAATGAAAGAATACCAATCTTGTCTCCCTTCCAAATGAATAATTACATTGGAGGGAGACTTGAATGTACAATACTTTTTATTTGTAACTAACAATTCAATATACTGTGAAGAACTATGGGTATCAATAATTTATTTCATGAAGGTATCTTGTAGTTTCCTAATGAGGCTGCAGCAAATGTTCTACAGTGGTACACACTGGAAGCATATAATCCCAGTCTGTTGCAAAACAATACCCTAGGCTGCAAGATAGAGCTCTAGCTGTTGGATCCCACTTTTCTAGCCACTGGCTGTCTAATGCAATGACTCCTGACCTATTTCCCTATCATACCCGCTTTTAAAGTTGTGGATTGAGTTTGCCTCGTCAAATTTGACAAATTAATATACATATACTGCTGCTTTGAGTCATTACATATCCTCACTACCCTTACACTTAGACTTTCTAACATCTCTCACATGAGTTTCAAGCTTCCATCCGTGCCCCTTTGTTCTATTCGTATTCTTTGTAAACAATTTCTTTGTTTTCCAATCTGTCGATCCCTCTTATTCGTTTGTATCATGTCCTCCACTCTCCCTCCTCTCTAACGTCATCAGATTTATTTCCTTTAGTCTTTCCTCATACTTCGCAGCTCTGGGAAGTCTCTCGTTGCAAACTTCTGCATCCTTTAGAGCCTCCTTGCGTGTTTTTTTTTCTTCATGGGTGGGGGGCCAACGATGGGGTTCTAAAACCGGCCTCACATAGACTGTGTACAGTGATCTAAAAGCCTCATTATTAAAGTTCCTGAAGTTTATTCTAAATTTTGCTAGTGTAGAATATGCAGCAGAGGTTATTCTATTTGAGCTTCTGGAGTTATGTTTAGTATGTCCACTCCCAGGTCTTTCTCTAGTTGTTATAGGAAGGTAGTTTCCCTTGGGTGTGTGTGTGTGTGTGTATACACATATAAATATTAAAATAGGCTTCTTGTTTTCGACAAATCTAATTAGTCTGTCGGTCTCCCTCTCCCCTCCTCTCACTCCTTATTCATTCATTCTTTCCGTTCTCCCTCCTTTCCTCCTTCTCACCCTCTCACTCCCTCCCCCGTCCCCCCAATACACATTGCTCAACTCTCTGCTTTCACGGAAATGTAAACTTGTCTTCGATAAGCCTACCCGTACACTCTCACTATTAAACTACCAACACATCTGTTGACCAGACCGCACACTAGAAGGTGAAGGGACGACGACGTTTCGGTCCGTCCTGGACCATTCTCAAGCTCTAAAGGATGCAGAAGTTTGCAACGAAACTTCACAATCGACTTGAGAATGGTCCAGGACGGACCGAAACGTCGTCATCCCTTCGCCTTCTAGTGTGTGGTCTGGTCAACATACTTTAGCCATGTTATTGTGACTCATCGCCTGCATACCAACACATCTATTGCAGTTATGTTACCACCTGACACTACCACCACCCTACATACATAGCACCTGCCTGCGATCACTGCACTACTGTTATCCCAGAGATATAGGCCCGTCTTGTAACTGCCAACAACCAAAGGCTTAATTTTGCTTTTTAATTTATAATTAGTTCAGGATAAATAATTTTGCTAGGCGGCGATGTACTCCAGTTCCGTCCAGTTCAGTAGAGCAGTAGAGGAAGGAATGGCCTAAGAGAACTTGCTGTTAATTTTATTTATCTGAACGAGTTGGGAAAAAGAGTACACGTCTAATATTTTACTACAGTATTTGTATACGTTGTGAATATTGAAAAATTAAGAGTGGGAATCATAGAGCCAGCACAATTAAGAGTGAATAAATTATAGGCTATATTGAATGTTATTATGTATTGTACTTAAAATTTAATTTCAAAGGCCTAAATATGTGTACCTGTCTACTAATTTTAGGTGACAGCCGCTATAGTTATCGCCGTAAATGACTCGATCAATGGTTATTTTAGTTTGTATTTTCCCCGATCATTTTTATCAACAGTTTTTAAGTCTTCCGTTATGGATAATTAATATGCAATGGAGAAAATGCCGAATATATTTATGCAATAAGTGTTACAATAAGACATTGTTGTAGTATAAGAACAGTATGCTCTCGAATCCTATTCCACTATCGGTTTATTAGGCTATATAAGAAAATTGTCCCTCCCCCCTCATTCTCTGGCTGCTTTTATTCCTCCTTTCCCTCAGGCTTCCTGTCCCGTTAAGGCCACGAGGGAGGCATTCTTAGTTTCAAAAGTACTTTACTGTCACTGTTAGCCATTATAATTAAAACCTGTTAAATTTTGCCCCCCTTTCATATAAATATGTAGCTTAATGCAGCACTGTAATGTGACAATGTAACTTTTTCTTTTTTTTTTGTCTTGGTGATACAATGTCGACTGTTCATCCCCCAGGGAACTTTATATTTTGCTAGTCTAGGTTTTCTCAGTTTAAATAACCTTATTTTTTTACAGGACGAAATGTGTTTGTATGGAGCTAATATATAATAACTTGGTGGGTGTCGTTAAATGAAGTTGCTAGCACTGTAATATATATACTGGTAAGCACAACTGCCCATCACTTTCCCCCGCCACATCATTCCATGGATCTCTCTATAAGGGTCAAAGGACCTCCCCACCCACCCCCCCTTTACTAACAAATTGTATCTTATAGGTAACTTAAGCTGTCCATTTGTATCGCGAGTTTGGTGGTTTATAAATTACGTGCCATGTACAATTTTGGCAAGTTCTTGACTGTGGACGGAGGACAATGCGTGTCTACTCCATTACTGACTGGGAGCAGTCAAGTTGGATGACAAACTTTAACATGTAATATGTGGAGTCTGATCCTGGAAGTGTTCCAGGTGACACAAATGTACGTAGTGACCTTTCCAGTGTTCAAGTGAATTTTATCTCGAACGCATTTTTTTATGCAGCTTGAATTGTATAAATCTTTAAGTAAAAGTGGGGTAAAATTCGAAATGGACATTCCCATCATTATGTATATGACCAAAATAAAATTATTGTAAATATGAATGCAGTTTTATTTTTTACTAGTAAATTGTTTGCCTAAATACTTAACATATTTTGTATGTTAATGAGTTTTGTCTGAATTCTTTTTTATACGTAAGTAGCAGGCCTTCGGTAATAGTCTTTGTAAAAGGTAAAGCTTTCCAATTAATTTTTTTTTTTCAAGAATTAATTTTTTGGCAAGATATTTAATTCTACTAGATAGTGTTCATTTTGTTTGAAGTTACCACGTTAAACTAATTTCCAAGAACTTGCTTGCAATTGCTTAATTAAAATAAATCGTTCATGAAGTTTAGAACCAGGAAGGAATCTAATTTATTTACCGAGGAGCTCTACGTATTGGACACAATTAACTTGATGGAAGATGAACCGGCATCATGCTGTCAGAACTGCATTGTTTTCAGACAATGCGCAACCATTTTTCACGATCGGAAACTGCTTTATTAATGTTAATCTGAATCACATTCCCTTCAGTAAAGCCCTTGGATCAAATACTTTTGATATCGCTGGTCTTGTCCATTTACTCTCGTACTGACATGTTGAACATTTGTTTAACAGCGTTTGTCTTTAAAGACAAACGCTGACAAATGACAAATTAAAGACAAATGCCCCCCCCACCCATATCTCTTGCCTCAATGTCGAATGCTCTAAGGCATTTCTCCTTCCTGTCTTGCCCTGTACTTCCTGGGAGGTGATAGATGCGCACATCTTCCTCTATTTGCACTTCTCTCTCCTGCTGTGTAAATTAGCTAATGGCTGTCCTGCCGATTCCACTACCTTTCCTTCGTCCCTTTATCGTCTCGATGCTCTGCCACCATATTGGGTTGCGCCTCAGCTGTGATGCCTTTTAGTCATCCCCAACCCAGAGCTTGTCTGTTGAAACACCGCGTCCTGTCTACGGGATCGTCGTGATCATTTGTACCTTTCTTACCTCGCATGGTGTCTGCAACATCCGCATTCGAGCTTTAGCCGTTATGCCTCAGGTTGGCCATGTTCCTTTTCACCACCTTCCCTCTTTCTGTAAGGATGTCTTGTTTGCAAGCCTCACTTTCGGTTTGTATTTACAATGTCTCCTCAGTCGTTTCATCCTTGTGCCTTGGAGGGTCCCCACTTGCGAAGTTTTGCCAGACATTGACCCACGTGCAAAGGCTTCTAACTCCCCTGCGGTTATGAAACGCCTTTCCATTTAAATCTTCTTTGCATTCAAATTCTGTTGCCCTAATGAACAAATCCACAAGGGCCGTGACGAGGATTCGAACCTGCTTCCGGGAGCATCCCAGACACTGCCTTAATCGACTGAGCTATGACAGGGTTAAAAAGGTTGAAACCGAAGTTCTACTGAACTTACTGGATCCCGTAGCCTCTCAGAGGCACAAACCAGGCTTTTACACAACCCCCCCCCCCCCCTGTACCCGAGCTATGTCAACAGGCCGTTCTCCCTCTTCGCCCTTACATCATCACACTACTAATAACTACTCGGTTATCTGTTGCCCTATTCACAGATGGGTCCAAGTCTACAATGGTGTTGGCTACTTCGTTGTCTTTCCTGACACAAACTGTGCTGCCTGCCCCCGGAGGCTAGCTTCTTCACGGCTGGACTGTTTGCAATTGTATATGCTCTTCATTAACTGCTTTTCCGACTTCACTGTTTGTACGTCATTCTGGTTGACTCCCTCACGACTATGGAATCACTTGACCCTATATGCATCCTGTGGGTAGTCGAAATCCAATATTGGCCGTTTCTTACCTAGTATATTTAAAACGGTTAAATTTTGCTGGGTCCTCAGCAACGTTGATATTACCTTAAATAACCGTGCGGACACAGCCGCTAAGGAGAGAATTATTAGGGCAAAGCACCAAGCCACTATGACTATATAGCACTTGGAAATTATCAGGATAAGGATTTGGGATGGGACTAGGCTGTCTGTACTTGTCCGTTTCCCAAAATGGCATTCCTTAGTCAGATTTCTACTCGGTTATTCATTTGAGACTGTTGACGGGTTAGTTGGTCTGGTGATGCAGGTAGCAAACTTCTTGTTAGTAAAGTAGCCTGTCCCCCATGGCCACCTTAACAAAATAAGGTAACCACAAAATAACATAAACAGAAGCATCTCTAAGCACCAGCGTATATATATACCAAGCCTATAAACATACTACTACCTTTTAGGCATAATTCTATTGAGTGCCCTCAAAGATACAAAGCCAGTGTTCTCAACGCTTATATTCGTCGAACCCTTACCCACTGCTCGGAATTTGAGCAACACGAGTAGGGAGTTTGAAAGGATAACCCAAGTATTGGTGAACAATGGCTATAGTAACCTCGAGATGAACACCACTATCAGAAGACACTTGGCCCGGTGGTACAATCCTTTACCAAGAACGGAAACCACAACACCTCCATTAAAATATGACAGTGAATAAAAGAGGAAATCATTCTTAAAGGAATTTGGGTTACAGCATCCATATGAAGGTGAAGAGGCGGGTCCCAAGAGCTCATCCTCTCTATCCTCAAGCATACAGAGGTAAGGTAATATATTTTAGTATTTTATTTTTATGATATTTATTTGGATATTAATTTAAGTTTTGCTTGTGAGAGTCGGAAATTACATGGTCCCATATAGCCCATTTACAAAGAGGATACGAACATGTCACAAGTGCCATGTGAAGTAGTAATTCGTTATCGCAAACTGATAATATATTTTAATACTTAAGAATTAGCGGGAGTGATGGCGACGTGTGGCAACAGTGCCACGGGTGAAGGATGGGAGCTCTGAGACGCGGCGTGTGTGTCAGTGTCGATTGTGCGGGTGTGCAGAGAGGAGGTCACCGCTCGCGCCTCCCTCCGCGTTCACTAAACTCTCCTTCGGCGTTCTCTCGGCCCTTTAAAAAGAGTATGACTCAATCGGTGGCTTGGCGACTGGCGTTGTAGCAAAGTTATAATATACAAAGTCGGGATTTTGTATTAATTAAACGTGTTTTTTGGGGGGAATTGAGGATAATTCTTCATAGCCGCATGGAGTGTCAGGTGCTTGGCGGTGCATGGTTGCCCTCTCAAACACCGTCTTCGTGGCGTGTCTGAGACACTGGTGCCGAGGACGACTTGAACTGGTGGCGACGTGAAGTAACACACGAGCCGCTGAGCCCTTGGTGAGAGATACATCTCAACACCAGCACGTGCTTGTCAACACATTCCACGGATGTTATCGTGTGAGCGAGCCAAGGCGAGGCTCTTGACTAGTTCAGCTGGTGCACAGTAACTCAGATGGTTGCTGCCGTATGTGTGGCAGGTGGTGGTGGTAGCCCAGACTATTGATTGCGGTGGAAGTCCAGTTGGTACGCCAGAGGCCCAAGTTCTGCCAGTAGAACAAACACCTTCAGTCATAACAAACATGTTGCATAACCTTGTTGCGTACAGCTTGGCACCAGTATAGTACTGTCGTGTAAGATCAGGAACCTTTAATAAGTCGCTAGTGACGTTTAGTAGAAGAGGAGCAGAAGTAGGTGTGTGTCCAGAAGGGCGAGCATCACCTTAGCCACCATGTCACTGGCAGAGACCTGCCTGCCGGAGGGCGAGGCCCTCAAGAGCCACCAGCCGCCTCAGGACTCTGCTGACGGCGAGTCCATCATGCTGCTGGAGCCTAGACCCTTCAGGCCCTTTAAAACCTCCGAAGAGTACCTGTACGCCATGAAAGAGGATCTGGCCGAGTGGCTCAATAATCTCTACAGCATGGATATAAACGTCGACAGCTTCTTTGAACGACTCGACACTGGCGAAGTCCTCTGCGCGGTGAGTATATTATTCTTGCTAACATCTTTGACACTTTACGTCACCTAATATGGTTTGTTGTATTGAAATAATTGAAACTTAATTATTTCAGCGCTACAAAATCAGCCAGAGATATTAAACGTACTTTAAATTATGATATTTGATCATACTTTAGTTTGATAAATTTTCATTGCAGAACAAATATGAAAGTACTTGGGGAAAATGAGCAGAAAATTATATTGGGGTACATCAGTAGTCATATCTAGTGTCAGAGAAAATGGTTTAAACTCTTGGATTGTTGGTTTTATTGGGCTTCTCACTGACGTTAAGGAGTCTCGAAATGAGTTGAAAACGTTAAATAAGACTGCCGTCTTTCAATAGTATCTAAGAGTACGTCTTTAGAGAACTAGTGTACGTCTTGAGAAAACTATAAAAATACGTCATGAGGGAACTAAAATGCGTCTTCAGGTAAAGTTCGCAGATACAAAAACAACACATACACTTCCGGTAGTGAAGGTGGACTGGCCACCCCCCCCCCCCCTCTAGCATGTTGTAGTCCCATGGGGTAAAAAACTGGATTTATTGTATTTGGTGTGTATGTAAATCTTCTCTTCCTGTTTTCCCGTAAAATATCTTGGGTACGAGTTCAGAAATACGGTTTTGTGATACTGATGGTTACTGTAAAAGTCGGTTTTTTTTATTATAAGTCTATATCGTCTTAAGCAGCACTGAGCTTTAATGAAGTTAATCGACGAGATGGAGCGGCTCAACAGGGCAAATAAAACGTAGTCGATCGAATAACAAACTTCTGACTGAATATCATTATTAGTTTTATTAGTAGTAGCCTATGACGGCTAGTATTTTTATTTCATAAATTTGTATTACTGTTACTTTTGTAATACAAATTTTGTATTACTAAATTTGTATTTTATTTCATAAATTTATAAATTTGAGAATTTCTGGAAGTTACCCTTTTTTTTGAGGGGGGGGGGGGTATTGCGCATCAGTAAGGTGGAGGACGTGGAGTTGGCCTATAAGCCTAGCTTTATCCTTGCACGTTAAAATTTGACTATATATTTGTTGGATTCATTCCTTTACATGAGAGGAACGTGAAGATTGCACAATATGTTGAAACGTAAAAGTATGTCGAAGACTTTAAAAGCACCATCCAAGCTTAAAATAATTTCATGCTCTCTCTTGCGAACTCGAGGTTATTAACTCGGAACATTTCAACATCAGCGTTGTAAGGAAAAGTTATGGGCGTTTGAGAGTAACGAGGGTGCATGGATGGGGTGGCGATGGGGGACTGTTAAAGAGTAAAATATATACCCACACCTCTCACCCTGCAAGATCATCGCTAAATGTTACCTTAAGGCAGAGTTTCTTTCACCCTGATGCCCGTGTTACCTAGCAGTAAATAGGTACCTGGGCGTTAGTCAGCTGTCACGGGCTGCTTCCTGGGGGGGTGGAGGCCTGGTCGAGGACCGGGCCGCGGGGACACTAAAGCCCCGAAATCATCTCAAGATAACCTCAAGAAGGGCTTAGAGTAAAGGGTAGTGGTAGCTTTGCTCTCGATTTGCAATCGATGATCCCGGGTTCGCGTCCCGAGCGGGACAGAAGTGGTTGGGCACGATTCCTTCCATCTAATGCCTCTGCTTGCCTAGCAGTAAATGGGTACCCAGGCGTTGGGCAACTGTTTTTTATTGTTGCCACCGGAGACGGCTAATTTATTATGCACACCCCATACTCATCCTGTGAGCGGTAGCGCAAAAAAAGGATTGCAGAGTGCACAAAAGGTCTTTATCAGACCTCAACGGAGATTATTACATTAACAATTACATCCATCCTGCACACCTTATAATTATTTTTTTAATTTATTTATTTGTATATATTATTCACATACTAGTTCTTACATTCTTTATAATGTCAGCTGGTTTACAGGTATTTTGACATTTCAATATATATGTAGTAACAATTATTATACTTTGATGGTAGGTCTTTCCGCTAATACATTACTACTTTGATACCAGGTTATTACAGGATCATAGAATAGCTGCTGTTTATTATTACTAGTCTTCACATTACACCGCTTGTTACTGAATCTCATATGTCATTTATCTACTGGAAGCGAAACATGTATACAGTTCAAGGATTTCTGACATTTTATCATCTGTGATAAGATGGGTTTGCCATCTCATGCAGCGTGAATTTAGATGCATCTCTGGGTCAATTTTTTCACATTCTAAAATGTAATGCCGTAGCATGAAATTGAAATAAGTTTATTGAGGTAAAATACACACAAAGGGATGAGGTAGCTCAAGCTATTCTCACCCCGTTCAGTACATCGTGTTAATAAATACATATACACACATCACAAACAATAAACATATTACCAAACATTCTGAGAGATAAACATCTACATTTCCTCCGTAGCATGTGTGTCTTTGTCCATACACTTTACTTCATCTAGATCCCTATACAAGCCGAGCTGCCAGAAATACTTATAACCAAGTCGTATTCGAGCTGTGATAACATCTGTTGGTCTATTGATTTTGTTACTTGCCCCATACAAATGCTGTTGTAGGGTTGCATCCGGAGGAAGGTCAGTAGTCTGACCTTGCGGTGACCCCTGATACAAGTCTAAAGTGTGTGTGTGTGTGTGTGTGTGTGTGTGTGTGTGTGTGTGTGGATGTATAATACACATCCACACACCACCTCAGGGTGGATTTTGAAGGACTCTTAGTCTTGGAGAAGAGAATAAATGACATTCGATGGAGCTATTTTGGACCCCAAGTTTGCGCTTGGATCTCGTCTTCTTGCTCCTCCACTGTCCTAATTGTTTAGGCTTTATCGTACAGTTACAAATTCATTAGTTATAAATATTACCAAAAAATGAATCTTAAAGGTGTAGATTTCGCCGAATTCCTCAGACGCATGGCAATAATTAGAGGACACAGTCGCCATTTCCTCTATGGATTACTACATTGAGGCACTGAGAAAGAAAACCGACTGCATTTGTGTAACTTGTTGACTCGATGAGACTGGAACCCACCCATATTCACAAGAAAGTACCTGTAAAATATATAATACATAAATATAAAAATATAATATTAATTTAGCCTAGCCCCCACGATGCGCGCCACATCCAATAAATAAGATTTCCTTACAATATTATGCAGGAGAGACTTGTGAACCTTCAGTGGCCAAGGGGTGGCGAGGTGAGCATGAAACTATAATAATTACAGCACCAGTGATTCCCATGGTGAACCTCCTAAACCTTCCCTGACATTTCACCTTAGACCAAACTGGAACTAGGAATTCGGGGAAATAACCTAACAGTGATATCAAGACCTCTCATGGGGGCAGCAGATTCGTGGCGTTGGAGGGAGGGCGGGTCGTGGTGTTGGAGGGAGGGAGGGTCGTAGTGTTGGAGGAAGGAGATATATCATAAACACCATGCCAGTGAAAGTGAGCGTGAAGTTTCCTCAATGGAGGCGTGGGTTCGGTATTACCACCAGAGGGTCATGTAATTATGTGGTTGTGCGGTCAAAGGCACGCATGCGGGCTCCCTCATCCCCACCCCCCCATCCTTATGGGCTACGGGATATTACAACCGTTTATATACATTAGGGGGATCTTTAAAAATATTTTCATATAGACCTTCTTTCACGAATCATCTTATTATTCCAACAATGAACTGTTATGAATCAACGCGCCAGTCATCACTTTCGAACTCAAAGAAATACAACCTACTGTCTTAATTAACTTGCACCTTCCACCAACTATAAAATCCTCGTCACTTAACACCAGTCACCACTTCTCGTCATCCTCCACCAATCACCACCAGGCTGTTGCTTGGAGCGGCCCGCAGGGCCCGGAACTTCTCTTCTCTTGTCACCATCCTCGCAGGACCAATCACCACCTATGACACCTCTGCTCTTCACCATCCATCCACCACTCCAGTCGTTGTTACTGTGTAGATTTGGGACACCCTCCAGTATTTTCCAGGTGTATATTATTTGGTATCTCTCTCGTCAGAGAGTACCTTTGAGACGATACCGTCACCATCCTCCTCCAATCACCACACCCGTCACCACCCCCAACCCTCATCAACCTTCATCATCCACCACCATACGCTAGGCTACCCTCATAAATTTACAGCCTCCCATAAATCACCAGTCCATTACCACCAGCTTACTCTACCAGCGCCCGCACTTCCACCTCCCCCACAACACCACGCTCCTCTACATTACAGGTGTCCAACTCAAAACTGTAAACTCCCAAATACATGGAATACAAAGCCATCCGGGTGAAGAAAGCGTTTTGTCGCACAGCTCACCTGTGTTCGCTTTCAAGAGTTATTATACTCCCGCAGCTCCGCCGGTGGCCAGGCCTTGGTTTTTGTGATTATCAACTTGATCCGTAAGACTGTTACTGTCAGCGACCGCAAACTTTCCAGGAACAAGTATGTTATGTTTTATGTTATGTTTTTATGAACTCTGAAAGCGCCGACGAAGGATCAGTTTGCACTAGGCTGCTCCGCACGGCCCCCGGCAAAAGTATCATGGCATGATACAACACGTTTAGAGGTCGTGCAGGAATGGAAAGTAATAGTTCCGTTGGCAGTCGCTTCCTAAACCTGTCTTTGAGTTATAGCTCAAGTTTATAATATATCGGACTTGAAAGTGGGTCATGTAGCATTAAGTGCTGGAAAGAACACGTTGCACTCTTCCAAGCATTTTTGCGATATAAGACCGTGCAATGGTTTGTTTCTCTTTGCGGGTCAAGAGATAGCGAGCGTGCGAGGTAATGGCCGCATAATTTTCTATGGTATGTTCCCATAATTATGCCGTGGTAGCGGGTGCAGGTTATTGTGTGAAGTTGGACGTGTGTTATGGACACACAATATTCGTGGCCGCATGTTGTGTGCGCGCTGCAACACCGATTTTTCTAGTGTTGTATTTTCTCTCTATTGTATGAACTAGTCTATACAATACTAGGTTTCTCGTGTGGGAGCTTCATTTCCAGTTTGAATTAACAAAGAAAATGTTTTTAATGGGATAGTGATCTGGGTATTAAGATCATGTTTTTCCCGAGAATTAACTCAGAAATGTGGGAAAGCAAAAAATAAATGATTTTAACCAAAAAGAATTCATTTGGCAACGTCAATTAATTCAGTCTTTATCAGTTACATAATATAATTTTAAATACTTTTACTTTTACAGATGTTTACGTGACCTTTGATTTTATGAGCTTATTAAGTTATGTTTAAAGTAGCGATTGACATATGCCAATTAATGTCATTCAAATGCTGGTAATGCAAGGCTGGGCATATATGTGTGTTTCTGTACGTGCTCAAGAGGCCACAGTAATAATAGTGGTGTCGCTGGGTTTGTCAATAGCGAGGGAACTTATTTAATAACGTGGGAAAAGGTTGACTTTTTGATACTTCAGCAGTTCACGGCTGAATGTGGTTGCATTCCAAATGAATCCGGTCATATAGCCAGTTATTATTAGGTAGTCCCTATAGATAGATACTTTAGGGCTCAGCCCTCCTTTTGTTTTCGACACTGTTCCTGGCCGTTGTAATAACGCTTCGATGCAACGCTTAGTCTATGTAGTCTCTCTTTATATATATATATATATATATATATATATATATATATATATATATATATATATATATATATATATATATATATAATATAGAAAACGAATCTCACTATTAAAATTCTCAGTTCTCTCTTGGTCTCGTTGACTGTAGCACCAAGACAGAACTGCCAGGTCACACCACCTACCGCCCCAGAGAACCAAAAAGAATAAAATATCGCATTGCCGCGTCTCGACACGGTAGCCTCCACTCATCACACCCCAGTGGAATGTGTTTGGCTGTGTTTGTCCACTTTACCTCTTCCTCTGATGATGCTAGGTTGTACCTTAATGGAATATATCAAGCCCATTAAAAGTGTCAAATGAAATTTGGAGAACAACAACTTGGGAAATAGAACCACTGCTTCCGGTCATATTTAACAGCGTGCGCGCGCGCACATTATATACACAATCCTGCTTTTTTATATATATTATTTCTGGTGGGAATTGTTTCCCAGCGCACTCAAAATAGACTCGGTGTTCAGCTGCAGGTATGTTATTGTCAACCCTCCCCCCCCCTTCTCTCTCTCTCTCTCTCAGAGAGAGAGATTATATATATATATTATATATATATATATATATATATATATATATATATATATATATATATATATATATATATATATATATATATATATATATATATATATATATATATATATATATACATATATATGCAATTGACGATCACAAAACACTGATCATTTTATGCGGAAAATCCACAGAGAAATATGAAATGAGGTGAACGTTTCGGCTTTGTTAAAGCCTAAGGCTTTAACAAAGCCGAAACGTTCACCTCATTTCATATTTCTCTGTGGATTTTCCGCATACATATATATATATATATATATATATATATATATATATATGTGTGTATATCACGAAAATAAACACATGATTAAAAATGTGACAATGTCAGACCACGGAGGAAAAATGAAACAGGAATTTCCTTAAGTACTTTCGTATATTAATTCACTCCTTCTGAAGATGTATTAATATACGAAAGTACTTAAGGAAATTCCTGTTTCATTTTTCCTCCGTGGTCTGACAGTCATATATATAATATATATATATATATATAATATATATATATATATATATATATATATATATTTATTATAATATAATATAAATATATATATAAATAATTCCTCATTCCAGTTATCCGGAAAAAGCCTGCAGGTACCTGACGTATCCAGAAAACCTCCGGAATTCCCAACCAGTCGTATATTATGTGGTGTAGTAGAGTGGGAAGCCGACCCTTGGGGGCCGTGGAGCAGACGGCTCTTCCACCAAGAGCCGTCTTGACCCCTCACAAAAACGCGAATTATAGTAATAAGGTAATTATCTTTGTCATACTGACAAGTGTGAGAGTCCACCTGTTGTCCGCTACACCTGGGCATGAGATAATTATAAGAATATAATTTTTCGTTAGTGACCTGTATTTTTGAAGCAGTGTGCTGATCTAAATGTGCTTGCAGGAGCAAGCGTTAGCTTTTGTATCGTGGCTTACAGGTCGATGGTTACAGGTCGATGGTTACAGGTGAATGGTGCTGGGTGTTGTCTGTCTAGGTGTCTCCCGACCTCCCTCTCTTGCTACATCTGCATTTGAAGCTATTTTTTTTTGGGGGGGGGGATAAATTTTCTTTTTTCCTTCTATTAATTTGCTCACGATGCTACCTACATAAGGACAAAAATAACAGGAACAGCAGTAGGCCTGTTGGCGCATGTGATGTAGCTCTTATATATATCCACTCAAACTCATTTTAACCTTCGCTTGAAACAGTCCAGAGATCCCACGTTTATTATCTTACCTGGTAATCTGTTCCATAAATCTATAACCCTTTTTTCCAAACTCATATTTACCCTGGTCTTTCTTGAATCTAAACTTATCCAGTTGATATCCATTAATCACAAGTTTTATTTTGTGTTAATATTTAATATCTTATTTATATCGGATTGATTGATTGATGAAGATTAAGCCACCCAAGAGGTGGCACGGACATGAATAGCCCGTAAGTGGTAACATTTTTGTTCAGTAAATGTATACAGTGTACTGAGGTCGCATTTAATCGTCAGGTTGCTATCGTGAGGGGAGGATACTGCTTGACAGTATTGATGAGGGTCTCCAGCTGCTGGACACCTTTTTAGACCAGAAGAATGGCAGTGTTGATGGCTTCAGTTATTTATGTCATCTTTGTTAGAACTTGTTATTCATTTATGCACTTCAATCATGTCACCCCTCACTCTTCGTATTTCTAAAGAATATAAATTATCACTTCTTAAAGATTTCTAATTCCTGGTTTTTAACTTGGTCTTCCTTCTAAATTTGTGTTGATTCTATAGTACGGAGACCAAAAAGTAACTGCATATTCTGAATGTGGCCTAACAGGAGTAAGATAAAGCTGAAGAATATTTGACGTCTTATTTTAACGCTAGAAATAAACCACAATGTATTTTGGTTTACAAATAAAACTGTAATTTTAACGTGTGAGAGACACTGTCACCTTACTCTACCCTGTCTTACACTGAAGACGGCTATTTATCGACCTTATCAGATCCTCCGAGAATCATGTATATATATATCGTTATTTATGACCTCTATAGTGTGGTAGCCTACGGATCATCCTCTTCATCTACTCCCTATAATTTAATCTATTCAGAACTAGGCTCGAACCTGAATTAAGTCCTTCTACTTATATTTTTAGCCTTAGGCTCTGTTTTTATAAATGGAGATTTCACTGTGGCTAGGCCTACTCCAGAATGGGCCTCACCTTATCGTGTATGTTTTTTTTTTTTTACACGGGTAGATACAGGAACAGACGACTTTTGACTCCTGTTAGTATTTTGAGAGCTTTCCCTTACCATAGCTCATGGTAAGCCTTACCCACTAGTTTTCCCTGGAACACGACCCGCCAATCAGTTAACAACCAGGTATCTAATTACTGCTGGGGAGAACAGATGCGAATATTTAAGGATTGGCGTCAAGGCAATTCTGCCTGGTCAGGACTGGAATCCCTGACAAAACCCCTGGCTAGGCGCGGGGCCAGAGTTATCACAGCGCCACCAGAGCCTGGTGGAGGCTACCTGCCCTAAGTTTCTAAATGCTATTCTTATGTTTGTCAGTTATGCTGATAGTGTTATCCTATTACTGAGTGAGTCTCCGGTTAGGTCGACTCGCAGGTTCTCTGGCTGTTTTAATGGAGTTTTCGCCTTATCTATCTGTAGTGTGTGAGGGGTATTTATTATATATATGCCTGCAGAATTGAGCTGTTAGTTCTTTGACGCCACATTTCTAGCCGTCGGATGTCTAATGTATTGACCCCCAACAAATTTTTGTCATATATACAGCACGTATATATGTGCTGCATATATACATGTATATTTATTCCTTGTGGCGAATGGCTTATACATAGATTTTATTTCCTACTAGGCTAAACCTAACTTTTTATTATTTTTTTTCTCCAATGGTCCTTTTTTTCACGTGCTGGTTATGTGATGTGATCGGCAGAGCTGCCAGTAGCTGGAGCTATCTCGGTGGCATCTGAGGAACCCTAAAGTGCAAACACCGCCTGCGACTGTTTCTACACGTTGTGCTGCTAAACACACACACACACACACACACACACACACACACACACACACACACACACACACACACACACACACATATATATACATACACACAATGAGCTTGAGAGGAATGAGCTACGAAGGAAGGCTAAAGGAGTTGAACCTCACATCCCTGGAAAACAGAAGAATAAGGGGAGGCATGATAACCACCTACAAAATTCTCCGGGGAATTGACAGGGTGGACAAAGACAAACTGTTCAGCACGGGAGGGACACGAACAATGGGGCACAGGTGGAAACTTAGTACCCAGATGAGCCACAGAGACGTTAGAAAGATTTTTTTCAGTGTCAGATTAGTTAATAAATGGAATGCACTAGGAAGTGATGTGGTGGAGGCTGACTCCATACACAGTTTCAAATGTAGATATGATAGAGCCCGGTAGGCTCAGGAATCTGTACACCAGTTGATTGACAGTTGAGAGGCGGGACCAAAGAGCCAGAGCTCAACCCCCGCAAGCACAACTAGGTGAGTACACACACAGGGTTAGGTATAGGCTTAGCTGAATTCCCCTACCATCTTGTGATTCAGGAGTGGGAGGCACGTAGCGAGGTTGACAAGCGCATATCAACGGTGACAGTAACAGGAGCACTGCAACAGTGACAGGGGCGTATCAGCAGTGACAGGCTCGTGGGAGCTGTAGAGGCCACGTAGCAACAATGACACGTGTAGCAACAATATTGTAGTCTCTTGAAGCTCAAGCGACCGAAGAGATGCTTCGAACTGATAGGAGGAACGTCAATTAGTGAGTTAGTCAAGTCAGTCGTTTAGACAGTCGGTGAGTCGTTCTGTTAGTCGTTTGTTTAGACAGTCGGTGAGTCGTTCTGTTAGTCGATTGTTTAGACAGTCGGTGAGTCGTTCAGTTAGTCGATTGTTTAGACAGTCCGTGAGTCGTTCAGTTAGTCGATTGTTTAGACAGTCGGTGAGTCGTTCAGTTAGTCGATTGTTTAGACAGTCGGTGAGTCGTTCAGTTAGTCGATTGTTTAGACAGTCGGCGAGTCGCTCAGTTAGTCGATTGTTTAGACAGTCGGTGAGTCGCTCAGTTAGTCGATTGTTTAGACAGTCGGCGAGTCGCTCAGTTAGTCGATTGTTTAGACAGTCGGTGAGTCGCTCAGTTAGTCGATTGTTTAGACAGTCGGTGAGTCGCTCAGTTAGTCGATTGTTTTGACAGGCATAAGTTGTTCAATTGATACGTTTCACATTTAGCGTGGGAAAGTCAGTGCTCGTTGTTATTGAAGTCATTTAATGCTGTAGGTGGGACTTACCGTCATTACTGACGGCACGGCTGATCAGGTATTCAACCGGTTTGATTGATCTATGACCCCACGCGGAGTGCTGGAGTGCATGGGAGGAGTTAGTGGAAGAACTGCAACCAGTGTCAGGGTGTATTCCTGGCCTGGTGGTAGCTAGAGCTGGTTTACAAGGGGGGGGGGTCTGGAAAATGAAAGTGAGCTGATTTGGCTGAAGTCAGACAGCTAACAATTGTTGGGCGCTTCGATAAGAGACGATATAATACAGTGGAGATGAATTACTGACGCAAGGGACTGTTCTCTCGTTATCAGATAAATCTACGTATTTTTGATCATTGAATATGCTAATCAAATTTGCAGTTAGCCTATGTTACACATATTTTATTAACTTTTACCTCAGCGCTTAACATGTGTGGGAGATGAACCTTCCTTAAGTGGTGTTGATACCTCGGCCAAAGGATTGTTGGAGTTTCTTTTCATACGTCTGTACTTCCGCCCGTTGGCTAGGCTACCTGGAGCCTCGGAGTTCGTCGTTGTCACCGAAGTTCTTCAGTGAAAATCCACTCGACTCCAGAAAAAAATAACAAGGTGTTCGTCTGTGTGTGGTACAAGTGCAGTGACAGAAGTCTATTGTATAAGTGAAGTGGTAGAAAGGAAGCGGATATGAGCGGTGGGAGGGACAGAGCCCTGGAGTTGTCCTCGTGGCACCTATATAACTGCAGATGTACCTAGGAAAATAAAAGAAAATTATCTTGAGCCATTGATCATCCCTCTCCCTTCGTAAAGAGAAACAGTCCTTGGGGGAAGGGAGGAAGAGGCACTTGAGTGGACTGGTTGAGGTAGTGACCAGTGAGACATTATTACCTGTGGCGTCTGCGACTGACGTGCACGACAAGCCCACACTCCAGCTGCTCCAGTGATAAGGATGAGGAGCGTGGAGAAGGTAGGCAAGGAGTGCCCTCGCATACCCAGCTGAGACACTTGCCTCGGCACGCACCACAGTAGCATCTTTGTTGGCTGGCGAGGCAGCTGCGCTGGGGAGGCAGCTCGAGCACAGGTGCCTCGTATTTTTTTTTTTACATAGAATCGATGCCTCTAGAGAAGCTCGGCCAACTCCAGTAATAATGTAAGGTTCTGGAGAGAGAAAGGAAGAGGAAGAGATGAGTAAGAACAGGTCAGCAATAATAATGTGGAAGAGGAGGAGGTACGAGGACGGAGTGATTGGGACGAGGGCATGAGGGTGTAGGGATAGGATAAGTGGGCGGGAAACTGATAGGATCGGGAGAAGCCAGACACTTAATTAATAGTAAACGGTACCGCACGGCGATGGGGCTGCTGTCAGAGTGATGGACGTGGGTATATGGGTGGGTGTTAGGGTCCGAGGAGTGGGTGTGGGTGTGAGGGTGTAAGGCGGGTGTGGGTGTGGTTTAGCCCTGCCGTCCA